CTAAATGCATATCACACGACTCCAGTTACTGCCAAAATCTACAGTCCTGGTATTTCAAACATGCAGCTGAAGCTAATGTTCCAATGAGAACATTAATAACATTAAGGAGTACTGTGTAATGGGAAAGTTAGGCATCCTGAACAATCGATGAGCTGGCAACAAGAAGCTGACTGGTCAAGCAGCCCCTCATCTGCTGTTTTCTGAGGGCAGCCAACTAGAGATTGGAGAATCAGGAATCTCAGAAAACAGGAACAAGGGAGGTTATTCAGCCCACCAACCGTGTTCCATCAGTTTATTAAAGTATAACATTTCCCTACCCTACTCTTTTGACGTAGTTAATACTGTATTTCTACTATCCAAGTACCTGACTATCTCTCTTTTAAATATCCCTAATGATTCAGCCTCTATAACTTTCTGGGGCAGGTAGAGCATTCCACAACTTCATCCTCTGCATGAAGAAATGCTTCCTGACCTCAGTTCTCATTGTCTTTGAAATGGATACCTCTACCAAAGGGAAGAGTCGCCCACAACCTTATTTGTCAATTACTTTCATTATTTTAATTACCTCAATGAAGGATCATTGCAGGACTTGCTTCAAGGCTTTGTTAGAAATAGACATATTCATATTACATGGTTCTTTCCTGGCATTTGATTAAAGTGAGGGTGATTTGATTGAGGAATTCGGGATCCGGAAGGGTTTGGCTTAAATAAACAGGTAGCGACTTTTACCTGCATGAATTACTAGAGGACGCAGCCTTAAAATGAAGACTAATCAGATTATGGTAGCACAGTTTGTGGTAGTTACTGTGGTTATGACTGTCTGCGTTGTAACCTGGAGAAAATTTTGCCGCACAAACCCACAGATCAAAAATCAATTGAGAGATTAAAAAATATATATTTAGAGAAATGGTAAAAGTTTTGATGAGAATGCAGGGAAGTTGAATGAGAGGTGGTAGAGAATAGTTTCATGGAATCGTCTGTGGCAAAGCAAGTTCATTGGGCCGAATAACTCAAGCCTAGAGCAAGAGGAATCTGAGGAGCCACCAAGCATTTAAACATGGCCAAAGATGGAGGATTCAGAGCAAATCTTCCCAACGACATTGATGTCCAAGGGAAAAAGAACCCAGGTGAAAAGGGTGATGATGTCAGGAGTGAGCCCAATCACTCGTTGTGAATTTGTGACACCATGGTTTTGTACAACATGACGGTCAGTGTTTTTTGGAGGGGGAAGGAATCCATTCTTGGAACCATAGTTAAGTAGAAGGAAAAATGAGTCAGCATCTCCTGGAGTGAAAGGGAGAATCTTGCTAGTGATTCAAGAGGGAATTTTTTTTGAAGAACGTAGGGGGGAAAGAACTGAAATGAAATATTGCCAAGTTTTTGCTTATGAATATCTAATGGTATAAAAACTGAGTCAAGATTAATTCCTACAACATCTGAGATAACATCTTCCTGTCTGCTGACCTAATATTTTAATGATTTTTTTATTTGCTGCTCTGATAATCTAAGTACAGCTGCCTGACTTCTTCTTATCATCAATGTCTTTTCCTCTTTCATATTTGGAATTGAATTCTTTCTTTCTGACAGTCTTGCTTAGTTTCCCTATTTCCTTCTTTTTCCCTGAACCTGCCTCTGGACCTCTTATGGCTTTGTTGCTATCTTTCTTAAGATGAGCTGTTATGTATCAGACCAATATTTTTTCAGTTGTTGTTTGTTTTCTCTCTACTCTTTCTCAATGTCTTTCTTTATTAGTCTTGTTATTCAAGACCAATAACTCAGTTTTACAGTTCCTTCTTTCAAGGCACTTCTCAAAACAACAACTTGTATTTATACAGTGCCTTTCACACGGGTTAAGATCTCAGATGGTTCCCCCCCTCCCGTGGCTTTGACTCTCGGCTTGGGTGTCCAATCAGCATTGTGAAGCACTTCGAAATGTCCTCCTGTTGTGAAAGGCCCTATATAAATGTAAGTTTATTTGCCCTTATAACATCCTAGTATCTCAGTTGGCTGAGCATTGGATCTGATACCATCATGAAAATAATCCTTGCATTTGATATAGCACATAAGTTGAAATGTCTTGAAGTGCGTCAGAGTTGTTTCTGTGAAGTGTCAAGATTGTACTTGGAGGCAAACGCAGCAGCCAATTTGCACACAGCAATGTCCTACAAACAGCAATTAAGTGAATGTTCATTTTTTATCTGGATGATTGTTGGCCAGGACACCAAGCAAAACTCCCTTCCCTTTTTAAATAGTGTCACGGAATCTTTAATGTCACCGGACCACGGTTTAACATCTCTTCCAAAGGGCAGCACCTCCAACAATACAATGGTTCTCCAGCACTATGAGCTCAAAGTCCTGACATGGGGCTTGAACCCACAACTGTCTGACTGAGCAACTAGAACATGTTGATACCTAACAATTAGAGTGGTTGAATCACATCTCTTCAACTTGATAAGATTGATAAAAAAAAGTACAACAAGCATTTATATAGTCTCCGTCCTATAGGATAGCATCTTGGAGCATTGAGTACCATGTTTAAGGGGAAAATCATTGAGTTAGATGAGGTGGAGCCAGTCTCTCTAATCTTGAACTCCAAGGTGATCAGTCATCCAAAAGAATCTTGTTCGTGGATCAGTGTACCTGGCTCATAAATGAGACTTGAAGAGGAGGCCAAGTTCTTAAGCTTGTGGCTCAAAGTCCCAAAAACATTTTATCACTGTTACCCAATACTGTAGTTCTTTTGCTGCATTGAAACTCACCTTGCCTTATTTACTTCTGGCAAGGTCCTCTGAAGCAGTGAGATAGGCAATTATTTGGCAAATGAAATGCTCCCTTCAAACTACAACCAGAAATAACATCTGCTCAGCAGGTTCAAATTTATTTTCAAAGTACTGTTGGAAGTTATTTAGATTACATTTGTAAACACAATGTTCTTGCTGTCAAATTTTGGCTCAGTGTGATAATATCTCCCATCACGAGGCTTGCACCAGTTCCAATATTTTACATTATTCTAGAAAGCATATACAGTGCAAGAGATTTCCAGCTCCCAAAGCCTGGACAATAAAAAAAAACACTTTGGGGAAAAGTATTGAAAGTGACACATTAATAAAAAATACATTTATATTGGAACATTGACATAAATCCGAGATGGTATCAAGTTTATTGCGTTCTTTACGTCAATCAACACAATACTGATTCCACTGTTCCTGGGCAATCTGATACAGATCTAATACTCTCTGGAATTAGGTAAGCAGAGCGCGTGCCTCTTGTAAGAGAGTGTGCATTACCTTGCAGACTCAGGGAAGTTTCCCTGCGTAAGTGCCATACATTAAACATGGTTTACACAGCTGACCAAAAATAAATATTTACTGGTTTGATCTTCTCCCTAGTTCAGCACTTCCTTCAAAGAGTTCCAGTGCTTTTTGTCATTTACTTGCCAAGTTATGTTCACAGATGATGAAATTATGGCCGATATCCTTCTCTGAGGAAACCTCCAGCTTGCTTGACAATGGGACATAATACCAATAATAATCCTGCATTTCACACCAGTTGGAGGTCTCAAAAGTGTTTTACAGAATACACTGTAAAGTGTAGTGACTGTGTTTTGTAGGCAATCTATATGTGATAGGTGATAGTTATAAATGTGCTTAACTGCATATTTAGCCTTAGTCCTGTCCGACCTATTACATGAGCACGGCCAAACATGCAATTTCTGAATTTGTTGCCTACTTTTTGTAAATTAGCTTGTTCATGTTGCCAGTGAAATTTAATAAAGGTGACCTTTATTGCACAACAGCTGCAATAACAACAATTTGTACTTTTATGATGCCCTTCATGCATAGCAGGATCTTGGAGCGCTTGCCCAGCCTAATACCAGGGCCATTGACTAGCAAACCTTTAAACTAAGTTCAAAAAGAACTTAGGTAGGACTTCCCACTCACCCTGCCACTAGATTTTTATAGGAAGGAGCTATTGCATCAGCTATTATTCTGGCGATAGAAATGTCATTGGGAAGTTGAGGCCAGTGTACAGCTAAACAATGGTGGCAGTGGATAATATATAGGCATACACTCACTTGCAGCACATTTTGAAGAGCTGAATGCAGCATAACTGGGCAACAGATAAGACATTCTGGTGACCATCAGGAGATACCATGTAATGTGCTTTTGAAAAATGTTATTCAGTTTGGTTGTTTGTTGCACTGACATTTCTGAGTCAGAAGGTTGTGGGTTTGAGCTGATGACCTAGGCTCAATACTCCAGTGCAGTATTGATGGAGTACTGCATTGTCATCTGAGGTACAGTCCTCTAGATTAGACATAAAAGTGAATACTTTTATGGAGTCCTGTAGCTGTGGAGTCCTGTAGCTCAGTGGTTAGAGCACTCGCTTTGCAAGCGAGAGACCTGAGTTCAATTCCAGGCAGGGCGAAACCTTGGGCAAGTTTCCTTACTCCACACAGAGCCTAATAATAATCCCTCCAAAACCAAAAACAATAATAAATTGGTCATTTTCAACCTACGACTGTTTGTGGGACATTGCTGTGCGCAATTGGCTGCCGCGTTCGCCCACAAATATACAGTCAAATTCACTTAACAGTGTGTTCTGTGAAGCGCTTTGGGACGTCCTCCCGACGTGAAAAGCGCTATATCAAATGCAAGGATTATTATTATTATTATTAAATACTCTACTGTCCTTGCAGATGGGTCATGTGGAACGATCCCATGAGAGTAATTGCTTTAAAAAGTACCATGTTTATTTTATTTTAAGTGAATGAGGTGCCTGGCCTGCCATTATTCCACTAGAGTTTCCCAAATTGGGAAACTTGACAAATAAAATGGCAAAAACACTTGGAAGCTTGAAACGCCATCTAGGCTTTCAGCCTAACCAATGTTCTTTAATACTATAACCCTGAGTGCAAAAAATGTCCTCGAGACTCAGATCTTGGCTGACCAGTCAAGGAATGGTAAAGACAGGTGAAAGGATAAAAGCTAGAATGTCAATTTAAAGCAAGGATATCATTTAATAAAAAGATGGCAATTAAAAATTTACAAAAAAGTACAGTATCTTACAACAGAAGGATAATTCCATTATAGTACAAATGCTCAGAATTTGCAGCATAATGTCCAAGCAGATATCAAAAACAACACATTTTTACATGCAGGGACACTTCATATTGCACCAGAAGTTTAGGCATACAGCAGGTCCTGAGATTCAAGGAACACAGGAAGATTTCATATTCAGAGATGCACCTTGCAGCTCCAGAGCTAAAGCAGAGCTGCAGCGATTAGGCACTGTCTTGGTTGAAACAGCAAAGTATTATATAAAAAACACACACGCACATTCACTCAGAATAGGCTAGCCGCGTAGAACAGGCTTGCTGTGTAGAAAACAAATTTAAAACAATAAAAGACCCAATTTTAGCCCATTACTCAGATAGTTCTCTTTTTGTTCACAGATTACCACTTTTTAAGAAAAAAAATCACTTGCATAACTGCAACAGATCAAAGAAATCTAACATTTTAATATTATCAAAACAAAAGTTATATATAAAAAAAACTTGTTTGAATTTTTACTCTAATCTAACTCCTTACCCCTATAAGGAGTTAAGTCTTATTGGAAGACCTTGCTTGCTCAAACGCAACGCTGACCACAGATTTCTGTACCACTCTGTGGTTTACTGTCAGGATACAGATGCAACATCAGGAATCCCGATTTGGATTATTATAAAGCAATCCTGTCAGAAATTGTCAAATATTAGAAGTTAATGTACGCATGATGCTGCACGATACCAGTGTTGATCTAGAGAGAAGTTATNAAAAATATTTCAAATGTAAACCATGTGGTAAAAATTCTGCTCTGATTAAAAAGCGAGTGCACTATATTTAAAATTGTGCGAACTGAATGCCCGCATTGCTTTCAACATCAATTCCCTGATACACTTAAATTCCTCCATCACTGAACACTTGTGTTATTCAATAAACCGATCAGAACATTCCTGTATGGAACAGCCTCATTCTAACCTCAATCTCCTTTAACCTCTACCTTTAGTGTACCTTATGCAGTTATCATACAATCTCTAGATTCCTGTGAAAACAGATCTTTTTTCCCTTCATCATAATATATCAACCTGACACTGCTCTAGTCTAAGATTACATATCATCTACATAGCAAAAAAAGTTTTAAAAATGCAGACAAAATAACGTATGATGCAAGTTGCAAAAAGAAGTTCTTACTTATGATAGACCTAAACACAACCGAATAACAAAGCACTTGCCTCTTCCATTCCTCATGGCCATCATTCAAACACAACACAATCCCTGCCAAACTTATAATTCACCCAGAGATATACTGTTCAATTAATATATGTATAATATATATTATATATAAATATATAATATATATTATATATTTATATAATACTGGGAAATGGGATTGCATTTGTATATGCTTGAAAACACAAAGTGTGCCAAGCAATGAATTAGGCACATTGCCTAAATTGAGTTGACACAGGTTTGTATTGTAAATTTAAATGAGCTCCATCTCAAATCCAAAGCCCAAAGACCACCATGCCAAAGATTGGTTGTCTATCTCAGAACCAGTGGCTTCAACTGAAATAAGAAACAGTCACTTCAAGTCACACTGATAATTGTATTGGTTTGAAATAGAAGGAATTATTGCAAAAGCAAGACGTTGAAAAATCAGGGCAATTTTTTTTAAACAAAAATAAAATTCAGCAACTCTCACAGTATTACACACATCAGGCACATACAAACACTAATACGTCATGTTACTTTTGTTGTTCTTTTAACAAGTTTAAGAACCATCAAATTCCATCTATCTGAAATCTGTGCACATGCATGTATTATTGGTGCAGTTAAGAGTTCTGTCACTGCATATATGGTTGTGTTTATGATCATGCTGGTCAAAATCTGCAGCTGGGCTGCCTCTGTGCCCAATCACCAATACTATGGTATCAATATCCCTCAATCTGTCAAAATCTATGCAATCTTCAAGAGAAATCTCAATTCTCGCTGAATGTCCAAGCCTGGCCTTCCTCCACAGACATATGTTTATCTTCAACCAAACGCCCAACAAATCTCCACTCCCAGGTTCTTCCTCAGTCCCACTCTCAGCATCTTCCTCTGTCCCACTTCCACATTCTTCTTCAGTTCCACATCCCAGCAGCTTCCTCAAATATATTTACATCTTTTGATCTTTTCTTTCTAAAAAAACTTGCCCAGGTGTCTATTTTAGCTCTGCTATAAAGGTCAAATATAAATAGTACTGTACATTATTTACATGTGTAAGCAAAAAAACATCATTTTTTAAAAAAAATGTAGCTCTGTCATCGTGTCAAAGCAGGAAATGCTTCTGCAGAAGTGTCCCGAATGTCAGCCTGTTCAGAACCTGAAGAGACTGATGAAGTCAAGGGGTGAAATAAATGTGCAGGAGCCCTCGGGATTATTGGCCGTGCAGGGGTGCTGGACATCCTGAGAACAGATAAAGATAAAGAGCACTTCATTATATTTTAAGAGCAAAAAAAAGCAACTGGAAAACTACACCTCACTTTAAGATTGAGAATGCATACAATCTTGACATGTAACAATACACACTACTTTTCAGGAAAGGGGCTGGACTTTGATTTTCAGAAGCTAGTAACTTGCAATAATTGTTCTGCATCCCACCAAAGCAAAAATCTCTTGGAAGCAATTTTGCAGCAGGTGGTTTTTTTCCACAACGCTTCTGTAACAAGTCAATAAACCCACAAAAGCCTCCTATTTTTGCTGATGTTCTCAACATATTCTTAAGAGGAACTGGTTTGGCAGTGACCAGCACACTGCGGGGGCATTGTAAAGTCTTTGATGAAGATTGCAAACTCCTTTATGATTTTGCACAGATGATGAAAAATGAATGCTTGCCAACAAGTTGTGACTTAATGCTATGTCCAAACATTTCTACAAATGGTCTTTGAAAAGCTGAAGAAATCTATTCAAGTACATCTAACTCTGTCTCGACAACCGTCTACAATGAAGTGATTCATTTTAGATAATACCTTCTCTGTTCATATAAGAAGCAGAAAAACAATGAATAACAGCAGCAAAGGAACTTGCATATCATTTAGGTGAAGGTTGGGGGGACATACAATTTAACAAAGAAATGTTTTTGAGACCCATGATCCTATTCTTTGTTCAAACAGCTGATGCGTAATCAACGCATCAATCCAATCCATGAGGAACCTGCTACTTATGGGGTAATGTACAATCAAAGTAAAATACTGGATCTACAAGAAAAATAAATACATAAAACAGGCACACAGATCACAAATTGTCCAAAACTAGGGCAAATACTTTAAAAGTTTTGCATTTCTTCAAAACCAAGTTGGTAAGTTTTTATGCTAACTGGCTTCTGGAATGTTCTTCTTATCTGATCAATATAAGTGGTGTATATTTCTCAATACTGAGTCAGAGACTAATTATCGGCCACTATAAAATGGGTTGTGTGTACTCTCACTCTGAAGGTCGGCTCGTATTGGGAGGCTCTGTTTGAGAAGAGTACAACAACAACAACTCGCATTGTATAGCACCTTTCCCATAATTAAACATCTCATAGTGCTTTGTAGAGATGTAGTGGGAACCTAAACAGGTAGGTCTTCAGCTGGATTTTAAAAGTTGAGGTGGGGTTCAAGGAAGAAGGATTTAGAGTGAGAATTCCAGAAGCTGAGGATAAGTTTGCTAAAGGCTCCCAAGTTAGAGTAGACCCATCACTGAAACTAGCATGGGGAACGTTATGGAGATTGTGAATCAATACTTTAGACTATAAGATCACCCAGTCCATTTGGCCTGTGAATTCGTTGTTTAGGAGAATTTCAGTGAAAATATACTGTCAGAGCATGAGGAATCAGCTTCCAGTACCTTCCAGCAGAGGATGTGGCAATGTCTGCAGAAGAGCAGTGTGTCTGCGTATTGCTCTTTCTTTGGGTAACACCTCCCCAGCTTAAAGTACATTTTCTTCCAGTCCAAGTGGCCTTTTTCAGATAAAATCAGACGTTTGCGAATCTAGAAAAGGCACAAAGATGAAGCTGTTAGCAGAATTTTCTCTAAAAGAAATGGGCTTTGTGAATGAAGGAACTGAGTGTCAAGGATGTTGGGATGTTACGAGGCAACAGTGGGTGGGAGGGAAGGGGGGGATGGGGGGATCACCAGTTTTCAGAAAGTGGTCTATTTGCTTCTCTTTTCGCAGGTGTCACAAAAAGGATCAATGGAATAGTAGACTAAATCCCAGTCGCTCTGCAGATATTTTAGCCATTCCAAGAGCAAGTTGTCACATGAAGGAGAGGGAAATAGAAGGCTATACAACAACAAGATTCCATTTATAAGTAATGTATGGATATAAACACTAGCACAAACTGTTTGGGCTGTTTCCACACTGTGCATTCTTTGTAAATCTTTGTAAAATGGTTTAAAGGCAAGTCTGTGCATTGAAAAGTAATGCGTAGTGAACGTACCTGCCGTTCCGTGAAGTGATAATGACACAGTTTCTTCCACAGAAGCCGATCCTCACTTAACACTTGGAGGCTTGGTGCAACCTGACCAAGACTGACAATATCTCTTCCATCGGACAATCTTTGCATAATGCCCAACTGGAGACACAATGGAAGGTCTGTGAGGGTTATTCCTTTGGATGTGGGCTGAAACAGAGGATACATTCAACATTGTTAATAGCTTCAAAAGCATTTTTTTTCACGAGGAAAATAAAAGGCCATAAAATGCCTCACAGTAAGAATAGGGGTCAAGACTGTTTCTAATGTTCAATATAGACAGTCTGCAATTGTCTTGTGGCAAAAGAGAAATCAGGAGAGAGATTTAAGATCTCTGAAATTAGATGTCTTCTGATTAACCTATTTCAATCAAGTTGGTTTACGTTGTTTTGGGCAAATTTCACATGGAAAAAGTAACAACTAGAATTTTAAGAGGAAAAACAATAAGGATAATGATATATAATAATAATACTTGTATTTGATGTAGCACCTTATCACATCAAAGCAATTCACAGGATTTACTGACTATTTTTTAGACAGCCAATTTGCACACGGCAGTAGCTCACAAACAGCAACTGAAGTGAATGACAAATTTTATTCGAGTCAATGAAATACAAAACGTACACTATAAATGGGAAAAGTGTCTATGATCAGTTTGAACGAAGGTGATGTAAATGAGTGAAGTGTAAGTTAAGGAATTTATGAATTTACTGAGAAGGTTAATGAAAGAACTTTGACTAATTCAATTCTCAATTGCTTAGGATTCAAAGTTTAGCTGTAAATTCTACAATAAATACTATTTTATTCTTTAAATTCTCTTACATCGATTTATTTCCCTGCTAAGTGCTATGGTCAGCTATTTCTGGCAACAAACTCAGTCATGTGGCATTTTGCAAATACTTTGCATTGAGCAGTTTGAATTCAAGGGCATTTAATATGCAGCTTTAACAGTTCCCAAAATGTTTCCTAAATCTAAAATGGAAAACACAGGAAAGCGCTGTACCATATTAAACCATTAGTATAAAAGTTCTGCGATGAACTAGATTTGTTAAACAAACACCGGGCCATACAAATTAGCCTGAGTGATAGAAAAGGGTTACGTCTGTATCTACATTTAAAAACAGATGCAATGAAGTACAGTGTCTGTTTGATTAGGTTTTAGTCAGTGACAGAAGGAGGCTTCTCCACACTCCTCAATTTCCCTCCTCTCCTCATCCTCTCCTGGGGATGCTGACTCCTGCTGGGTTCCAGCACTCCAGCCAAGTGACATCAGAAATGAAATAAATTCTGATGTCCAGCAGAGATAGGTGATCAGTATGGGATTAGCTTCTGAATGGTGACCAGCCCTTGTTGGAAACTGCACTTGTGAAGACTTTGTGAGAAGATGGATTCATGTTTGGCTGACAACACCCATACCCAGACCAAAACCCATACCCACGCCCAATCTGGGTATGGATTTTGTCAACCAAACATGAATCCATCTTCTCATAAAGTCTTCACAAGTGCAGTTTCCAGCAAGGGCTGGTCACCATTCAGAAGCTAGTCCCATACTGATCAGTTATCGCTGCTGGACATCAGAATTTACTTCATTTCTGATCAATCACATTTTTTAAAGTGTTTTGTATGTTTATTTTCTATCAAAGACTTAGCATAAGTATTGTTGACCACTGATGACCTTTCTGAATGCAGATTGATGTCGCCCAGAGTTGGCCCTCTCCTCCACAGTGCGGCCCTAAAGTGATTTTCATTATACTTTTGTGGTCACTGCACTGATATTACTGTGCTAAACTTCAGTGATATTATTTCTTTGGAGTCCCAACCCCATGTGCTTTCTTGACAGTTGCACCTTGTTTACTGTGCACAAGAGTGGGTGCTCCAGGTCACATGAGATCACAGGAAATTAAGAACAGGACAAAGCCATGCGGCCCACTCACCCTGCTGATATGAATATTGTTCAACTGTTGCTGCCAGTGCAGGATGGCCTCCATCCTGTAAACCCAGATATTAATATTTCCCACCAGCACAGACTTCCCTACTCCCTGGACCAGTGCACACAGGGATGTATACAGACTGTGCAACACCTCCTTAATCAGTCGGATATGCTGCTGGTCTTCAAGCACTGAAACACAAGGTTTAAAGATTTTGACAGTTAACATTAAATACATTCTTTATTGAAGAAGAAAATGGTAAAGTTTGTAGCATTTCATGAAGCTATGTGTTATTTAACACAAACAATGCATTATGAAACACCACGGGCTTTAATCCTAGACATTAAACATCAAAGAGGCAACTTGCTTGTGCTACAACATACGCGAAACAGTAGCAAATGCTAAAAACTTCTGGAATAGAAAAAACTAATGTACCATAGCAGAGGCTGGACTTTCCAGGAGTTTTCGGAATAATAATAATAATCCTTGCATTTGATATAGCGCTTTTCACGTCGGGAGGACGTTCCAAAGCGCTTCACAGAACACACTGTAAAGTGAATTGACTGTATATTTGTGGGCGAACGTGGCAGCCAATTGCGCATAGCAATGTCCCACAAAAAGTCGTAGATTGAAAATGACCAATTTATTATTGTTTTTGGTTTTGGAGGGATTATTATTAGGCGTGTGGAGTAAGGAAACTTGCCCAAGGTTTCGCCCTGCCTGGAATTGAATTCGGGTCTCTCGCTTGCAAAGCGAGTGTTTTAACCACTGAGCTACAGGACTCCACAATCTCTATCTATGATCCCAAACACAAATTTTGTGTTTTGTGAATCTCTATCTATGATCCCAAACACAAATTTCTGAAATTGGTTGGTCAGGCAGCCAACAGTATTCCTGCTGACATCTGTGCTGCACAATGGATGCAATAACTGGAAACACTGGGATCTAATAACGAGCATTTTTGAAGTGATTTCACAAGCAATAAAAGCGGACGTATGTCATACCAACCCACAGAATGCTGCTATTAACCTAAGCTGCATTTTAGAAGCCTTAGTGTAAGAACTCTCAGAGCCCTGATTCCAAAATAATAATAATCCTTGGATTTGACATAACACCTTTAACATTGGGAGGATGTCTCAAAATACTTCACGGGATGTACTGTGAAGTGTACTGACTGTATTTCTAGGAGAAGTTAGCAGTCAATGTGGCAACCTCCCACAAACAGCTGTGAAGTGAATGACTAATTTTGTTTGGAAGATTGTTGGTCAGGATACTAGGAGAAACTCATTTCTCTGTTCATGGAATCTTTAACATCCACCTAAACAAGTAGATGGGACTTTGGTTAATGTCCGATCCAAGTTTGGTCTTATAGTTAAGACCTGGAGAAACCTTAGGTGTCAGATCACTGTTGAATTCTTGTGATTTAACTCTGCGATATAGGGGTAAGGTTTGCGACGTTTCATAACATTAATTAACACAAAGAAACACGTTATGAAACACTGTAAACTTTACTCTAATGGTCCTTCTACAAGGAATGCATTTGGCCAGTCTTACTGTTGTATTCTGATTGTTACGGACCTTTCTGTACAACTTTCTCCAGAATGTTCATGTAGTTCTTCTGGGCAATGCCACTGAGGGAGGTGAGCTGGGACTTTGCTATCAGCTCCAGAAGCTGGAAACATGAAATAAAGCAGTGTTAGTTTCTCAGGAGAAAAGTGTTCCACTGGCTCTGCTGTTCTGTGCAGAAGGGTGGAAATCCATGCTGTTAATTAGTACGATACCGAGCTAAAAACAAGAAATCTCACCAGGTTCTACATTTACTCTATTTATGCAGCAAACCTGAGATATAGCAATTTCAGAATGTAGCAATATCTTAAATACACCCTTCATTTTGAAGTTGGTTTACTGCAAGTTCTTCCTTGAGAGGCGAATCCTGAACTTGGAGAGTATTAGCCAAGTCCTGGAAAACGCAGACCACTTGGTGTACTGCTTTAACCAGGTATGAACATATTGCTTGTAATAAGAATCAAAACTAAAGAGCGTGTGTCCCCCTCTCTAAAGCAAACTGCAATTTACAGCCCTTTTAATTCTCTCTATGGCGATCAGTCAAGGCAGTGTGAATGAAGGCTGGAATCTTTTCCAGGTCTATATTAATTTCCCATTGGCCAGGAACGTTTCCAACTGAGTCCACAAAGGAGTTTCATATCAATGTTTTAAATCAGTACTGCATTACTAGAAGATAAAGTCAAACCTGCACTCAATTCTCTCTTCTCTCAGGGATAATAAAATGATTCCAGACAAACATAATTTGATGCTGAAAATGTCTGAAGTACTATATAGAATTTCTGAAAGCCAGATTGCACGAAGAAGGCATTTCATAGCAAATACTGTAATATCAATGAATAGTCAGGTAATATCTGGATACCCAGTGCTTAACCCTGCACATCAGAATCAAGAATATACTGTATATTAAAACATAACTCAGACAGTTGCTGGTATCTGGTTTCAAGAGGGAAGTCGACAGGTACATGAAAGTTAGAGGCATGAAGAGATATGGGGGTAGGACAGGCAGGGGTTCGAAAGTGCAGCTTGTTCTAAGATCCGAGGCTTGTACTAAGATTCGATGGGCTAAATGGCCTTCTTCTGCCCTGTAAATTTCTTATGACTATAATCAAAGGTCCTAATGTCCTTCTGCAGCCCATACACCTGATTTGATCTGAATATATGTGAACTTTCACAAACGTCTCCTCCCTGACCCTGGTGCCATCTGTTGAGAGGGGAGACTTAACGAGTCACAAGCCTCAGGCACAGCACGACAGGAATTCAAAAGAGCTCCAGTTCCATCAGCACCTTCCCCCTTGGAGCAATGTCACCCCAGATACTGTATCAGCTGCTGGCATAGTGGTGTAGCACAGCCCCTGGCATGTGATAGAGAAGTAGCCCATTACTGGAAAGTGATTTGGTGTGACTCATGGTAAGTTTCCCTACTCCTGCCTGTCAGTGTCTGCCTGAGTGACTTCAACACAAACAGAGATCAGCTTGCAACTTTGAAACTGATTTAACAGATATCTATCAAACCCGCAGGCAAATACCTTTGGTGGGACAGATTTTCCTTCCCAAATGACTCAACACCTTATGGAATTTGCAGTGATTTATAAGCACAGCTGTTTGGACAACTAAGCCGGAGAGCTGGTCACTAAGAAACATGTGAGGCTAGAGGGTCTGTGTTTGATTTCAATTGTTTCATCAAACAACAAATAAAGAACAAGTGTAAAGGAACAAATATGATTCTCCCCATTCCCACTGAATAGGTCTGAGGAAAATTCAGTTTAACTGCACCATGTCTATCTCCTTTGTGTGAAAATGTATTCTGAGGCTGCCTGTGAGCTTGGTAGGTTTAGCTGCTGGACTCCCAATGTAGGAAACCCTACAGTGAATTCAAGAGATCAGTGTTAAGTTGTTTATACCAGAAAACATCTCCTCTCTTCTAGAACACCCCAATGAACCGTGACGTGAGCCCACACATGGGAATTCCACTGCGAATTCTAGGTCATATCAGAGCAGAGTTCCCAGTGGGTTGATGTGATGTACCTCTGGTTCCCAGAACGAGTTCCCATTGCACAAATTCTGCAAATTAAACCCTTTAATATGTCCAGTCCGCCTTGGTTGCACAGTGTGTTTTTTGTTTGGAAACAGTGTTAGCTGCTGGAGCTGAGGAATTAAAAGCTGGATGAGCCAGCATGACAGCACGTGTCAGAGTGTTATCACTTGGTTTTGTTAACTGTTAAAAAACATCAAAATAAAAACGCTCTTTCTGTTCTGTTTTTTCTTTCTGTTCAGCTCTTTCCATTACTCAGAATCCTCCTCCCTATAGACAGGGACTGATGATTGAGAAATAATGCGTCCTTCCTCATGGCTAACTGGCTACATTTCTCCATCACTTGACTGCTTGACGTTGTTCACTTGGCAAAGGTGAAATACCAACGAAAGTAAAGATCAGAACAAGCAGCTGTTGTATCGTATTACAAACAGGCAGGCAAATGTAAACAAAATGAATGACTTTATACACAAGTCTCATGAATGTCCTTGTTTTACATCGGCTGACAAGCAAGAACGGTTGATTTTAGAAAGCATCAGTGCTCTACGACCATCTTTGCTGGATGGTAAAGCAATGTGGTGGCTGAGGTTACTTTTTTTGTGTGTATGGAGGAGGAAAAAATTCAAGCACCCTAATCCTTCAATGTGTACATAATAATTTTAATACTAAAATATACACATGTCAATATTGGAGGAGAGAGGGTGAGAAAGATCACAAGAAAGGTTGAGATGAATAAGTCACTTTGGCTCATCTCTCCATCACAGGATCAAGCTCTTTCTTAAATGAGTCCAGCATCCTGGCTTCAACCACCCTTTCTGGTAAACTTTCAGTTATCCTCTAGTCACAGAGAGTCTAGGTCCGTACTATTTTAAAAAAATAAGTAAACTGGCCAAGATTCAAGTTATTAAAAAAAGCTGTGAAGTAAGTTTAGGTAGAACATTCTTGCATGCACCATCCATCAATTTCCTTTCCCCAATCTTACTTCCACCATCATGGGATCTGACCCAAGATGCTGGAACTAGCACATTTGTGTATTGTCCACTTTCCAAATATTTTAACACAATATAAAAAGCTTTTTTATACATTATATATAATGCATTATATATATATAATTAATCTGGAATAGTGGGAAGGCAAGGGATGGAAGGATTATGAGCTGGTAAGACCCTAGCAAGCAAGGCCCCGTTTTAAGCAACATTTTCTCGATCCACTTACCCGTACAACGTAGTTAAATTTTCTGGTATCCTGAATTGCACTGGAGAAGTCTAAACGGTTGAAAGCTTCACCCAAGGTGCAGTACCCATGGCGCTGTGGAAACAAGAGTAAGACATCAGCAATTTGGATAGGAGAGCTCCGAATAAGACAATCACACTGCTGTCATCTCGATTGCAATCTCACAACATCACTTACCTCCTTTGTGCTTCCTTTATGAACATAGATCCACTTGTCTTGATGAAAGCCTGAATGTAAATGATAAAAACAGTGATGTAAATATAGTGATATGTGTTTTGGATGATTCACTGCTGGTTGCTTCAGTTGGTAGCACTTTGACCTCTAAGTTACAAGGTTGTAGGTTCAGGTCCCAAACTATAATCTAGGCTGATTATAATCCACTGGCTCCCCATCCCCCAGAGGATTGATTTCAAGATCCTCATCCTCACCTACAAGGCCATTCACGGCCTTGCTCCCTCCTACCTCTCCAACCTACTATCCCCCTACCTACCTGCCCGTACCCTCCGTTCCTCTGGCTCCGGTCTGCTCCACGTCCCCCGCCCCAACCGCCCTACTATCGGTGGTCGGGCCTTCAGCCTCTCAGCCCGAGGCTCTGGAACTCCATCCCCCAGTGCCTTCGCCTTGCTTCCTCCTTTCCTCCTTCAAGGCCGGTCTCAAAACCTTTCTCTTTGACCGTGCCTTCAGCTCCCCTCTCGACTCTCTTCCTCCTCCTCGCTCCCTCCCTTCCCTCCCCTCACCCTGACCATTTCCCCCTCCTCTCTCCCTCCCTTCCCTCCCCTCACCCTGACCATTTCCCCCTCCTCGCTCCCTCCCTTCCCTCCCCTCACCCTGACCATTTCCCCCCTGCTCGGGTCATGACCCAACTGTGCAGCGCCTTGGGACGTCCTCCTGACGTGAAAGGCGCTCTATAAATGGAATCTTGTTGTTGTTGTTGTTGTTGTTGATACTTCTGTGCAGTGCTGAGCGAGCTCTACGTTGTCTTTAATTTCAATGGACATTAAAGATCATACAGATCGTAAAGATTAAAGATCCTACGACACTATGAAAAGAAAGTTGATCATGGTGTGCTGACCAGCAATCCTTCAGATTAATTGGTCCTTCGCCATTGCAGCTGTTTGAGGGGCTTTGCTGGTGTAAACATCTATAAAATAGTCATTACACCGGGCAGCAATTAGTTGTGAAACACTCTGAGATCATCCAGCATGATAAGGTGCCATAAAAACATAAATTATTTTGTTTCAAATGTAACAGCTTGGCAGCGTGATCTTATAGAGGGACAATCACACCACTCTGGAATGAGTTAAAACTCCCATTTAGGCAAGTTACAATCTTGGACAGCAAGTGACTGAAACCCATCCTTCCTGCCTGAAAACAACAAGGCTACAGCAGGCATTCAAACTCACGAGATAAGTGCAGTCTCTTAAAGAGATTTGAACTACTTATAAGTAATGCAAGGGCCTTACATTTTTCATGTGACCTAGTTCTGAATGGCAATGTAGATCCATCCTCTCTTTTATACAGACCATTTACTAGGAGGCGAGGAAAATTTGAATTTCACATGAGATAATTCCTTGATTAAAAAACATCCAGAAATGCTAATAACTATTTTTAGGTATAAAAAATGGCCAGCAAGTTAATAATACATACATTTATTTGACATTATTTGACATTCATGTCTCAAAGAGCTTCATAGAATTAAATAATAATGCTTGCATTTGATATACTGCCTTATCACATGATTGAGACATTTCAAAGCACTTCACAGACTATACTGCAAATTGGACTGACTTTTTATTTTGTGGGCGAAACACGGCAGCCCGTTACATACAGCAATGTCCCACAAACAGCCATATTTTGGGGGGATTGTTGGCCAGGACACTGGGATAAACCCTCTTCTCTTTTCAAGTAGTGCCATGGAATCTTTATCACCCACCTGAACAGGCAGATTGCACCTCAGTTTAACATTGTGAAGTGTAGTACTGTCATAGTGGAGAACTTAAGAAATAAAACTCACATTGAATCTTTGTGTTGATGTTCATAAGATCCTTCTTTCGCTTCTTTGCTGTCACTTCGTAGCTGACGTTTTTCAGAAGGTTCTCCTTATTGTATTCCTCTTCATCACAAAAACTGTAATAAAGCGCAAACACAAATAACATGCATTACAGTACAGGAGCTCTCTGGCGCCACACTGATCACAATGAAGAGGAATTAATGTATCCTCCAATCACAGCATGGAAATGGAAACCATTTGGCCTCTTCCAGTTCTAGTGTCTTCTAAAAGAACATCACCTAAACAATCAGTCCAGTGAGATGCCATTCATTGTGTGATTCAAACAGAGATTTGATCAGGTAGGACTCCCTTAGACGTGCAATATTGAGATTAACACCACCTCATCCAAACAGTTCTCCCACTACTTCACAGGGTTTGTTTTTTTGTGAATGCTTGCAGACGACAACTGGTTTAAACACTATACCTGTGTTCTCTGGGGCCTGTTCTGGTATAAACAGTTTGCTTTGTGATTTATACTTTTAACAAGGTGGAATTTCCCTCTTTCTCCCTACACCCATTACCCTCATCCATGGAAGGCTCTACGAGTTCCCAGTACCCCAGTTGGTTGACGAAGATCCTTGCCCTGACCTGCAAATCCCATCACAGTCTCGTCCTTCTCTTTCTCTATGCCATCTCCTCCAGCCCAATTCTCCTCATTTCTTCCAGTTCTCATCTACTGCTTGTTCCTCACTCTCCATATTACTATCAGTGGCTGAGCTTTCTCTCATTGCTTCAAAACCGTCTTAGAAAAAGGATGGGGAGAAATTTTACTGGGGTCTAGATTTACTCTATGTAGCATGTTAGACAAATTCTGCCTGAATTCTGAAGCAGATCATCTATAAGTTCTTTTAAGACTTCAAAGTTAAGACTGAATTCTACAATTTGTCAAATTTTTTGATGTGCTGAAATGCTATATGAATATGGTAAATCTAGACCCAGGTGGAATTTCAACTGGTATCTCTTTTAGACTAATATAATTTGTTGTTGTAGACTATGTCTTAGTCAGCACACTTAAATTGTCATCTCTGTGTAGCACTTTAAGAAGTTCATGCTAGGTTAAAGGCACTGCAGTATATATGTGCAAGCTGTTGTTATACAACTAAGGGGGTCATTCTGCTCCACTTGCCAACTGTATTGAATTTGTTGATGTATGTTATGGACGTTTATAAATACATTTTTATAATTTTAAATTTCATTACAGATATAAGTGCACAATGATAAATCTGCTAAATGGAGCAAATGGAGCAGAATAGGTCAGTGATATCAACAAATTCACTACATTTGGCATGTTCAAAGTAATTATAATTGTCTCTTAATAAAAGGATATGCTTTTTATACATACTGGTTAAGCACTTCCTAGCATTAGAAATCCATGTTACTACACCAAACTGGATCATCTAATAAAAGGAAACAAACTGTTCGCAAACTTTAAAGCAAAGTGAGTTGAAAGGAGAAGAGGAATGAGAAACCAGAAGGGATGCCCCAAACCTCTGAAACTCTCTGCCTTAACTCATCTGCCTTCACCCTCTTTGGCCATCTTCAGATCGTATCTGAAAACTTGTTCTAGAGTCATGTCCTGTTCTCCCTGACTTGGGATCAGTTTTATGCCATTATAATAATAATCGTTGAAATTTGATATAGGGTCTTATCCTATATCATAGAGATATCTCAAAGCGCTTCACAGAATATGCTGTAAAGTGAACTGATTGTATATTTTGTGGGCGAAATCCTGCAGCCAATTGCGCACAGCAGTTTCCCACAAACAGTCGTGATTGGTTTTTTTGGAAGGATTATTATTACATTGTTTAGCATTCAGAGACACAACCCCGTGTGAAGGGTGGTATATAAATGCAAGTTGTTGTTCTTGATGTTTGAAAGCACAAGAACACAAAGATAAAGCAGAACTAGCGTCAAATCCCCCCAAAATTGTTATTCCAATTGCAATGCTCTTCTCTCTAATAAGTTTCAAGGCGATCATGGCGCAGTTTAATCATTTAATTTTTTTTCAAAAGTTAATATTTGACTGGATTAGCGCAAGACGTAATAGATTCCACCTAAAGCATGTTCAAAATGCAAGTTATTGATTGTTCTGTAAGACTGGCTCAGAATATACCCATGTCTGGGGAATGACCACACTTGCAGATTGGAAAAATGACCAGCTTTTAACCTGAGCTCCAGCTTCGCAGCAGGAGGGAGCCAGCTGACAACTTGAGAAGCAAAGAGCACACCCGCAGGACAGCAGGTTCTCCTGGCTGCTGCCAAATCTTTCCATCTGATTTTTTTTATCTGGAGGAGGCCAACGGAGTAAGTTGAAGGCTCCTAGAAAAAACATTTCAAAGATGTTTCACTGTAGCCTGACTCCCTGGCAGCCTGCCATGTTGATAATCGCCGCAAGTCCTGGCTTATAGCAAACCTATTCGCAACGGATGAGTGTGGGGGAAGGGGAGTAGGGAAGATAAACTGAAAGAAAGAAGCCACCACTTTCATCCAGCTGTTCAATGGTAAATTAATACTAGAGTTCCCTCTCTGGTCAGCCTGAACTGCATCATGTTGTCACATGCCTGCCTGCATTTCAGTACAGCTTAAACAGAGGACGTGACTGCCAATTGTGAAGCACAGTACAAAACATGAAGCGCAGAAAGAACTTCCATTATTTTGATGCGTCACATGTTGAAACTTTTCAAAGCACTTCTCAGTCATTATTGTTTAAGAGGTAAATAACCAATCTAAGGGATTGTTGGCCAGGACACCACAGGAAATTTCCCTCTCTTTTCAAATAGTGCCATGGGATCTTTAACATTCGCCGGAAGAATAGGCAGACAGGATCTTGATTTTAACATTATATCTGAAGGACTCCACCACCAATGCAATGCTACCCATCCCCCATCCCAGCACTTCTCTAGAGTCAGCCTTAACTAATCAAGTTCTAAAGTGGAACGTTAATATATATCCTCTGATCCAGAAGTGAGAGCGCAACCAACTAAACATGTTGACATCTAAACTGGGGAGGATATTACCAACAAAACTGAACTAGGCTAGGGCCAGAAAGACATATACATGTTGGTGGTGGTGCAGTCCTTCAGATATAATCTTAAAGCCAAGGTCCTGTCTGCCTGTTCTTCTGGCGAATGTTAAAGATACCATACCTGCTGTATGCATTTACCAAGCTTGATTTAATTTTCATTGTTGGCCTCATTGCTCAAACTATCTGCAGGGCCCACAAAACATTTAAAATCATAGGCACCTGGAATAAAACCGTGCCAAGACAAATTCTTCCCCCCACCCCACCACCAACATATACCAGCCAAATATGTAAAACTCTCATTGTTCAGATGTCAACTTATCCTGTATCTAGTATTGCTTTTCAGCATGCAAATCTTGTATAATAACAAACTCCAGTTTAAGTTTATACAACTAATATTGAAAAAGCATGTAAATAATGTGATATGTGACAAGTGGAATACAATTCAAGCACTATGAACATCCAGCGTTTAGCTTTGGAATATCTGAAATATACAATATAGAGTTGTGATGGACTGAATGTTTTAGTTTGCAATACAGTCCATCAAACAGTGAGCAAGTGGATATGGGGGAAAGGGAAAGCCTCCCATTGGGGGGATTATTGACTGTTTTTGATCAATGTGATTATTAACACTGGTGATATTGTTGGTATTTGGTACCCCTCACCCTCCATGATGCTTTTTAAAACACTGAGCACTGAGGGAAGCCAATCAATCGACTGCTGCTGAGTGAATTAATTCCTTGAAGGCAGACAGAACTTCATGTTTCGGCTAACTACACACATAATACATTTAGTTAGTTTGTTTAGTTACTCACCTTAAATCTCAGAGAAAGTCTATAGTTTAACACAAAAAAAGTGGAAATGAAACTTTGCAGCAAGTTGCATTTCCTCACTATTGTGGTGCAGCTACCCAGGCAGTTGCATTTACTAGCTGCATAGAAGTCCAGACAGGGCGAAACCTTGGACAAGTTTCCTTACTCCACATGCCTAATAATAATCCCTCCAAAAAAACAAAACAATAATAAATTGGTAATTTTCAATCCATATGACTGTTTGTGGGACATTGCTGTGCGCAATTGGCTGCCGCGTTCACCCACAAATATACAGTCAATTCACTTTACAGTGTGTTCTGTGAAGCGCTTTGGGACGTCCTCCCGACGTGAAAAGCGCTATATCAAATGCAAGGATTATTATTATAAGTATCAGAGGTTTGTCTATGCAGCTAGTTTGCTTGTAGAATCCTGTGTGTTTAAAATTTACACTTATATAATGCCTTTCATGTCAGCATGGGATGATCTAAAAGCTAAAGCTAAACCTGCAACAAAATATGATTTATGTAATGCTTTTTATGTTGGGAGAACATATCAAAGTGCTTTACATAACAGGCTGGGCACCCAAGTGGGCATGTGGGGGTGGTGGGTGGTTGTTGGTGAACTGAAGAGGATGGGGTGGGAGGGAGAAAAGGTGACCAAATGTGCATTCAAAGAGGTAAGAATATCTTCAGAATAAAACCTTGGTTTAAGTGCTGTGTGACAGGAGCGAAGAAGACTTGCTCATTAAGTTGTGTCTTACAGTACAAAACAAAACACTCAATCAAGTGATTTCATGGAACAGCTATTGAACAAGTAAAAACAAATATCTTATTTAGTATTAATTTTGAATTAAAGCCTCACTGTGTTACTGGAAATTTATAGTGTGCTTTGGCACCGTTACTGAAAAAATGTTTTGCCTTTAAAATCTGGGGATTATTATGAGCAAACGCTATTACCCTATCAGAGTAAAATCACAGAAATTACAGCACAGAAAAAGGTAATTTAGTTAATTGAGCCTAGGCTAGCGCTAACTCCATACACTCCAATCCCTCTTCTTCAGTCATGTATTAGTCATGTTTAGCCATGTTTTACTAATCTAGCATGGGCCTCTCTTTTATCTGGGAGGAAAGATAAACAATCTCCATGCTATTTAGCTGGCTCCAAGGTGCCAGAATGTTGAGATAATCTTCTGCGGTGGTCTCGGTGGTTCCCGAGTCAGATGGGTCTGCAGTACTTCAGAGCACTGCCGATGACATCTAAGCCGTCTGATTAGCAGGACTTGGAAGGGCAGACCGGCTATTGGTGGCAGGGATCACATCAGGAGGACATCCCATTCGCACCCTCATCCCAATAGTTATTACCGAGGTACGAGGCCCGACAGTGATCTGTGTGCCTGAGCCTGTCCTTACCTGATCGCTACAATCACATACACTCTTAAATCTTCTGCCACGGGTCTCAAAACAGTGATAGGAGCAGGAACCCTGACTGATTTACCCTTCTCTAAATCCAGGACCATCTCCCAAATGTTGCCTTGGCTGAGATCATCAATTCAGCACAGATCAGAATCTGAACTTGTGTCCTTTGTGTCTGATGGCCTAGTAATAATATAATAATCTTTACATTTGATATAGCACCTTATCATGTCATTGAGATGTCTCAAAGTGCTTCACAGGATATACTGTAAAGTGGATTGACTGTGTATTTTGTGGGTGAAACATCTACATGACTCGAGCATCTTTATCTATTTGGCCATCATGATTTTAAAAAAGCCCAAAATGATTTACATTTCAAATGCAACTCATGATAACAGTTGGTAAACTGAATTGAGCCAATTGAAATATCATCGCTTTCCACAATGACTCGCTCAGTAAAACCTGTCTAGTGGAGGTCTTGAGCAACACAACAAATTGAGAGCACAAAAATATAAAAACAAGAGTAGCCAATTCACCCTGTCTAGCCTGCTCTATCATTTTGTTACTTTGATTTATTTTAGGTCAGCCGGGTGTCTAACACATGTGAAAGCCATCACTATGCTTAAGAGTATCCAAAACCAGACAGAGTTCCATACATCCCACCAATACTTGGAAATTCCCATGTCGTGGTTGATCTGCAACTTAATACAAATTTCCCTGTGCTTTCACCATCTCCCAGGATATCCCTGATTTCATGCATTTATGCAACACCTTTTACAGAATTAGATAATATTTCATATAACCCCTGAACATTAAACAGTCTCAAAGCACTTCACATGTAAAAGCTGTTGAGTATAGTGACTTGGTACTTGTAGGGTTAGCTGATCTCAGCTGGGCATGTCTCATTGTCAGAGCAAAGCAACCACTAACCAACCAGGAAACTGCTACTGGCAATGTGTTTGGTATGTTAGCATAACATTTGAACGTGAATTTATCATTGCATGGCTGCAGGCAGATCCTGAGTAGAATGCTTGAAACACATTTACAGAAACAATATTTTTCTGAATTCCCTGGGATATCACGTCAGACATCCAGAGGAAGGGTCAATTGGATCTATCAGGCTACTTGAACCCCAGCTTGGGTGCCCATGCAGTACTCTGAAGTGATTTGAGATGACCTTCTTTTGTTATATAAATGTAAATTGTATTGTAAAATTCTATTATATCTAACTCCTGTTGTTTAAGTCCTGTGCTGGGAGCACTCATAGTGCATTCATAAAGCCTCCTTGGAGAAGGGCAAACTGCCTTCATGTTAGAAGCTTGCTGCTTTGAGTAAAGAAACAGTATATTGGAACGGTTTGTGCCCTACCCTCTGCCATCAAATATTAACATCTATTTTTGGAGAACA